GATAATTAATAATCATGTGATGCACGATAGTATCTACTGACAAATACGTTTAGGTATATAATGATACGGGATGGCATATTAGTATTACCGTTCCCAGTAATACAAATATCATATAGATTCCTATTATCTGTAACAGTAATACTAAAAGTATTTCTGTTACTAATAATAAGAATATTCATAAAATTAGTATTACTTTTCAGTAAAGTAATAGTAGAAAAAGTTTTCAAAAGATTTTCTGACTTCTTGAATGAAAAATGAATGTTTTTTCAACTATTTCTCTACTTTACTCGTTTGTTCGTCCGCACATTTTTTGGATTCTCTCATTCTATACAATACTGTCTAATTATTTTCGAAAAAGACTTAAAACGATATATAGCCGAATATTGAGATATATCTGCAATTTGTGGCAACTGTTGAATATGTTACTCGATGAATTCACACGCAAACGTAGTATTGAGCAGAGAGATGGCATCTGCATTCAGAAGTGGTTTCTCTCATTGCTATGACAATATTTATCAATGAAATAGACTTGCAATACCATTTCATGCAACATTATAATATCAGATCTTTTGTACAACATCTGCCAGCTGGACGTATGTGAAGATATAAAGAACACTTTTTATTATTGTTGTCGCCAGTAATAGGGACACTGTTTAGTATTATTTTCCTTGGTAATGTAATACATGAGTAACAGTAGTATTCTACTCCTAACCATTATCACCAATGTACTTCATATCACTAATTTGAACGATTTCTTTCTGATAGTTTTATTCTAATGCCTTTTTCTCTTTTCTTCCCTATATATCTATTTTTATAATTATAGGAAAAAGAGTTTACACAAACAAAGTTCAATAACGACTACAATTGATTTTTGTAAACATTTTCGTTTTATAGCTTATTCAATGGTACAATAGAGAGCATATATTTAGTCTTCTAAATACTGCAGTTCATCGCATGTGTATCGAATTTTAGCTAGGATTGTCGAACAGATATAAAATTTCATGACTATATCATTATTTGATAGAACATTTGCTCAACAAATATGCTGTTATACCTAACTGTCAAATGAAATACTTAAGATTAATTTGTAATGTTTGTAAGAAAAAATGCTTAGAAGAAAATCTAACTAATATTAATGACATTTTAAATAGTATACAAAATGTGAACATCAAAAGCACTGTCATAGTTTTTGATTGACCTCGCAAAAAGATAACATGACCAACTTGTAATCCAAATCGATGCAATTTTCATGTACTATAACACAAAAATCCGTTTCTTTTGATGTAGTCCTAGCATAATGTAAAGGAAGAATCACTAGACGAAACAAACATATAGGGTTTGTAAAAATCAGTATAAAATACTAATTTCATGCTCCTGTTCCCGAGACGGCTTGTGTTCTAGATTTCTTCATGAGAATACAATGGAACTCATACATGTCCCCGTATTGCTTGCTTTCTAAACATGCAGCCTGTTATATTGCAGTCAATGAGAAGGTAAAGAAAAAATATGTGCCCGTGTTGTGGAGTATTTCGTTTATTCTTTCCTCTCTTTTTCCTTGCCTATCAACATATCTGACCTCAAAAATATCGTAACTCGATCGTGCGGTCCTGTATAAAAATACATATATATTTTTTAAACGAAAAAAATGTCGTTTTTCTTCGTTCCTCCTTAAAGGAAACGATCGAGTAAGACGAGTGAACAGACATAGAATTGAGAAAAGAGAGAGAGGAAAGAAAGAATCGTCGACGAGTCACATATCACACACACTTTTACATCTACTCTCATTTACATTATTCTCGTTTTATTCTCTATTATTTTCCTCTATTCTATTACTCAACAACGATGACACGAAAAGCGTCGCTACATCACATGTATTAGTGGTACAGATTCTATCGTTTATCAATTCTTATTGTGTACCTCACTCGGATATAGACGAAAGGAAAGGTTTCTTTTATTAATAGTATACAACAATATTTTCATAATTAAATGGCTACTAGTGGTTTAGTTTCAAGTACAAAAGTAATTCGAATACAAGATGATGAAAAAGATTTATTATATCGACTTCGTGAAATATATGGCAATGATTATAAAAAGTTTCCACTTTATATCTTAAGTGAAAAACATGTTCCATTATCAATTAAAAAAATTTACAAGATTTTAGATGAGCGAAAAGCATATCGACGAATATCTGATTATTTTCATCGAGAACGGTAGGTTTGTTAGAGTTTCTTTAAACTAAGTATGTACCAGTTATTTCGGACTATTTTCTGGAACATTCAGGAAATTTGTTATAACGCGGTTATTAAGCATCGTCCTAACTGGCCAAACATCTCATTTTGTACAGAAATGTTTGATCTACCTACTTGCATCGAACAAAAACTTAAACAAAGAAAACGATTTGCTGAAGAGACACCAGCAGTCATATAACTGGTGATCAGTTATCATGCACAGTTATGGTATTGCAGAATGCTCATATTTGTGCTATAATTAAGTTTAAACGTTTTTCCTTCTAGTAAATACATAGAGCAAACATTTTTCTGCAAAATGAGACACTCTGCAGCTAGAGAGGATTCTTAATAACCGCGGTATAACAATTTTCCTAGATGCTCTAATGTCAGATATACGACTGATACATGCCTAATTTATAATAGCTTCTAGCATGACAAAATCATGTCCATGTATCGCTAAAAAAGAATTGGTCAATATTCCACTAAGGATAGTAGATTTGATTTCAGAATGACGGATTAGTTTCGTATATCCATATTGTTTGTATAAAACATAAAAAAAGATGTTTTGATTTAGAGCTGCAAAAAAGTTGAAAGAAAGTCAGCAAGAAATACACCAGCAACGGCGGCAGCAAACAGAATCGAACAGTACAACATCCAGTGATATGTTACGCTCGACAATTAGACAATCTGACATTAATGAAACCATAGGCGGGTCTTTGATGATACCGTTAGCAGACACATCATCACGTCCACAACAACAAAAAGATATTTCCAGCAACCGTTTAGATAACAGTCTTAGTCAACATCAAACGATGATACCTGACCGGCATCAAAGTGTTTTACCATCTGAACTTTTAACAATACGAACACATTTACAGGTATGTTCTAACATCACTCGGACATGAATTTTAGCCAAAAAATTCTTATTTAGCAAGCTTTACGTATTATCGATAACACATTGATAAAACGTGAATATGACGAAGATGAGGAAGATGAATATTTAGAAGACAATGTTGTTGATAATAATAATCACTCAAGTCGTCTCGATGATCTTGTACGTTCGTTGGGGCATGTTGTTACACAACAACAACAAAATGCTTCATCGTTAATTGATGCCACTACATCTTTCTTAGTTGTTGATGAAGAAGATGGGGAACAAAATGAAACAGCCACAACAATATCAAAAGCAGCTAACCATAATCATCATCAGTCAAAAGAAGTTTCGTCTATTAAGTCTGCTATTGATCGCTTAAATAGTTTGGTTAATCGTGGTCATACAATTTATGATCGTTTAGAGGCTATATTAGCTGAATTCTAATTATTCTTTTCTTTTTTGTCCGATGTAATTTGTGAAAAAGACGTATTACGTATTATTAACGCCTTCGTTTGTACAGGCACGGATTTTCTACTTTAACGTTTCTCAATTAAAATTTAATAACAAATCCCAAATTTAAAAACAAGGGTTTGATTTTTCTATTTTTTTGCCACGTTTTTTACGCAATAATATCAAAATATAAACGATAAATTAAGCAATAATAAAGATAACTTATTGAATTCTGAAGCAGTGATTCCACTTAGATGTCTAGTTTAATACCAATAGTATACGCGGCAGTTGCACATGATCAGGATAACATTTGGAACATTTGGCAAAATGTCGTCGTTTGTCGTATTGATTGGCAATTGATATATGCTCAGTTTACTGTTAGTTTGTAAAGTTTGAATGGTTTATGGTTTCTTTATTTTATGTAATTGTGGGAAAAAAAATACTACAATGAGCATGGATTTTTTACTCCTCTTAACTAAATATCTGATGTAACTCCGGTAAAGCTAGATAGTAAAACTCAACGATAAAACAGGAGGTTTTTACATCGTGAATGTGATGAGCTGGGAAATACCAGTTTTCAACTCTCAGGTATAGTTCAATAGAAGAATATGAAAAAGGGAAGTATTCTGTTTTCGGTTTAGCAATAATTAGCTTCCAAACATGTAAGAAAACTTCAGGATCATTTAAAAGGTAATCGTATATTGCTGGTGAATGCATTTACAACTACATGTGTTCAATTAATCCCAGTATGCACCAGGGCTGACCGAGTCCGAGTCACATTTGTTTAAAGACTCTGACTAGACTTTGACTCGAAAATTGGATGACGTTACTCGACTGTTTAACTCGAATCGTTCATTCAAAAACATTTTCATTTTGCTCGTATAAAAAAACTATAATTTATAAGATTAAATTTCCACTTATTCATAACTTTCGTCCTAATTGAATATATAACATCAGAACGATTTTTTGTGCATAAAAACTAGGAACTGGATATTGTGTCATGAAAAAATTGTTGTAAATTTCGTTTATAAAAATAAACAGACAACGAAAAAATGCCAAAAATAACTTGACTCGACTCGAAACCGCTACGAAATGACTCGGACTCGACTCGAAAAGTGGCCTGACTCGCCCAGCCCTTGTATACACTTAACAGTACAAAACAATTTTGTACGTCTTGAGTGCGAACATCAGACTTGAACCGACGAATGTTTTGATTACTAGAATGCACACTTTTTGACCGAAGGATAATCAGTGCAGCTCCCCCGGCGACTGCACACTATTTTATCTCTCTCTCATAATAACTACAATATTTTCTTCGTGAAACTACAGTTTCATCAAGTCTTGTGTATTTATTGTTAGATATACAATTTGATTAGTTCATCTGAAACAGCCGATGGCGTCAGTGTACCTATATCTGTAAATAACAATTTAATGTATGAAGGTAGGGTATAGTCGACGAGTGGATGTTCCATATCTAAGTTTTTTTCACCCAACCGCGCTATTGTTGATGCTTTATATTTAAAATGATTAGGTAAATCACGATTATTCAATGGGTAGAAACGAACAAATTTAAATGATTCACTGGCAACATAAAATGGTTTATTCATTTCTTTTGCCAATACAGCCATATTAAATGTGCCAATTTTATTGATAATACCACCACTTTCTACTACTGCTTCTGCGCCAACCAAAACAAAATTTACTTGTTCCATAATATACGCCACAGATGCATCCAAAATACAAATTGATGGAATACCTAATTTGTCTAATTCATCACGCATACGTAAACCAGTCTTATCTGGACTCGATTCGGTTACAAACACACGAAATCGACAAAATTTTGATGAATATTTAAGTAGAGCTAGAACAACTCGAGAATAGGAATGTGTCAATATAATACTACCATCAACAATAAATTCCTGGCCATACTCGGCTATACGTTGTCGCGAATTTAGAGTACGATCAAGAAACAATTGTCCACGTTCAATTAATTTTTTACGACATTCATCAATATCGAACGTGTCGAATTTTGCCAGTGTTATAAATCTTAAAAATAGTTCACATCCCGATTTGACACTCGGTATCGAAGAATCTGTTTGTGTCAATAATAATTGCTGACAATATTTTAATTGTGTCGATAATTCACTCATTGTACCAGCGTTTGAACGCTTTATAACCTCTAACAATGTACGAATGGCTGCAATTGCAACAGACTAAAGTGTAAAGAAAATCTACAAAATGCTGTAGTTCAAGGTTAGATATAATTCACGTACTGTGTCTGGTTCTTTTTGACGAATAGTTGAAAAGTATTGAATAATTGTATCATTTTCGATATCATTCATGATGAAAAAGCTATCTAAAAATAGCACGAAAAATGTAATGATAATCTCAGAAAATGAAAAATCGATCGTGCTAAATCCACACGCATACAAAACAGGTCGGCAAAATTCAATGATAAGAGTTCACACGCAACCGAATTAAGATAATAAATGAAATTAGGATAAAGCAGAAATATACTGTCGAAAAACTGAAACCATGTCGCAGTCATGTTTTGAATAATTCGAGAACAAATAAATAAAGAGTTCGCATGTTGAAACCAAAATGCATATTTTCATAAAAAGATAAGTTTTAAAATTTGTTTTTAAATCTGAGATTCGAAAGAATCTTTGGAAAATCTGTTTATAGTTCAAAAAGTTGTATAATCGGATTTTTTCTATGCATAGAAAGTCTAAATATCTTCAAAATGAGGAGAGTTTAGTGAGACAGTCAGTTTCCATAGTTTAGGCGAAGCATCAGACTTTCTGTAAGTTCGAGGGCTGATATCTGTTGACTTTTAGAAATCTCAATGACGACTAGCACAGAGATGATCGAGCACGAAATCAATACTAATGTATGAAAAATCTTAGAACAAATCAGTACCTTGTAGGTATAAAAGCAGAAAAAAGGACGAAAGTTTAGTTAGTACCAATTGGATTTTCCAGAGATCCTGTCTGTAAAAACGATTTCATTGCAGTGAAGTACATATGTATCCTAAGACTTTTAGCTTATTTAAAAGCTCAAATCTCGACTTTGATAGCAGATCAGTTCTGATATTGCAAGTATCTTGAAAATCATTCTCATTGCTTTTTCGCCATATTCACACAAAGTGCAGTACTAATATCTAATACTTAAACTAGAACAAAGACTGAACAGTCTTCATGATTTTTATTTACAAAATAAAGCATCAAAAACAAACAAAACAGACATGTACTTGTGTATGGATATATGCACAATTTTTCAAGTTGTACATTTTAAACACAAACACAAAAAACAAGAATGGATGGGAATGAAAATGAACAAGAAAAGACATACACAAAAGAAACACATTGAATCAAATTTGTGATGCTTTTACTTATGCCCGCTGGTATTAGAATAAGAGTGGTCATTTATTACTAAACAGTTTTCGTTAACAAACAAAAAAAATTATCGTCGTCTGTTATTATTCATATTGTTGTTACCATTATTGGCATTAGCATTACGACGTTCTCGTGAGCGACTTCTTGATCTTGATGAACTAAAACATAATTTCTTCAACATAGTTAGAAACAAAGTGTCATGTGGGCAAATAGTATACCGTCGTGATCTTCTATCACGTAATCGTTTCTTTAAATCAGGACTAATCTGTTTGATATGCATAAAATTACAAAATCCAGATCGATGACATTCTCTAAAAATGGAAGAATAATGTGAAGTTAAACTAGACAACATACCACATTGGATAATAAAATATACCCCAGTTCATACTGTCGACAACTAGCTTCTTTAAAATCTGTAACTGGTGATAATTCAGCATAAATAGGTTTTTCTGAAAACCATCGATTATTTAAATCCTTAACAGCTCTTTCAGCGTCTTTTTCATAACGAAACTAGAAAAAAAAATATCCGTATATAGATAAACTTTTATTTGATACAAAATGATATTACTTACTTTAACATAAATATTGCCGACTAGATGTTCACCTAAATTGTCACATATATTCATTTCTTCAATTTCGCCATACTAAATCGGAATAACGCAAACAATAATAATATTTTTATTTTATTTTATGGCTTAATGTGTACACACATGGATTCATCAGCAAAAAGGAAAAGGTCTGTACGGTTTTTTTAGACGAAAAGAAAAAATCCTAAAAACCTAGAAGCAGAAACCTAACGGACTAATAATTTTTTTTAAAGAATAAAACATATTTTTCAAATTTCTACCTTAAAAAACTGGGTGTTTCAACACCATATACTCCGCCTAAAAAACTAATGGTTCTCTGTTTTATATTGGGCTGAAAAGAATAGATAGATTAAAAGACGTATGTATGTGTATGCCTTTGAGGACGAGTATGTACATTGCGTAGATGTGTGTATGTCGTTGCGTCAATCATATATTTCTTCACAAATTAAGCCATCGTTGCTAATTAGTAGTGTAAAGTGTGTTTTGCCTGCAACAATAGCCATAATGAACAAAGTATGACAGTTGAAAAAAGCAGAGAGAATGAGAAAGAAAAGAAACTAGCTCTATTAAATAAAAGAAAACTTTGTATCGGAAATAGAACTAGACTGAAATGAGACACGGTTTTCTCCCATTGTTTAACTTACTTTATCTTCAATTTCACAAAACACTTCTTCATAAAATTCATCATAATGTTCCTGAATTTCATCCTCTGTCCATCCATTACCACCAGGTTCAACTAAGTGAATCAATAGGATAAATGTAAAGTATAAACATATTTCAAAGAACACATTCAATGGTGTTCTTGATTTTGAAAATAATTATAACAGTAGAACAAAATTCTCTTCTGTTTAAAAGATTATCAATCATTTACAGTGATACGATAAGCAAAATGTGGATCTAGTAGAGCAGCCTAGGGTAATTATGATCAGGATAAAAAATTTTCTCAGAATTCTTGAAGCTCTGCAGCTATTTTTTCACCAAAAAAAAGGGATATTTCACAGGTAGGTTGAGCTGAGTCATACCTATCGATCGATGTAAAAATTATCTTAAAATTCATTAGTGTTAATTAGTACTA